GCACCACTTCTCCGTCCAACGTGAGGCCGAGTCCCACGTACAGCAACTAAAAGGATGTGAACCTATGACATACAACTGTCTGCTGGGGCTTTGGGGGGAAAAAAACTGAATAAAAAAAAACTTTAAAAAAAAAAAAAAAGAATATGAGAAAAAAACAGATGATGTATCTTTTAAAGGGTAATTTGTATTTGTAAGAAAAACCAAATAGAATTTCTAGACATGAAAAATACAGTTAATGGATAAACTGGCAGATTAGATCCAAATGAAGAGAAAATGACTCAACTGAAAGATAGATCTCAAGAAATTACTCGGAATGCAGCAGAGAGAAAGAAATAAAAAATATGAAAGAAAAGTTGAGACAGCGAGTAGATGAAAAGGTGACACGTCTATTCGGCTTTCAAAAGGAAGAGAATAGAGAGAATGCAAGAGGCACAACATTTGAAGAGAGAAAGAATTTTCCAGGCTTGATGAAACATTAATCTTCAGATTCAAGAAGCACAGTGAATCCCAAGCAAGATCAATACAAGTAAACCCACACACCTAGACTCATCACAGTGAACCTACAGAACACCAAAGACAAAGAGAAGATCCTGAGATCACTAAGAGAACAAACCGACGAGCTGCAAAGGAATGGCCATCAGACTTCCAGCAGAAGCACTGCTCCTCAGCTGGGCCTGGTCACACACTCCCTTGGGGTCCATCAGAGGCTCCCCAGGCTGCTGCTGACCCCACCACCTTCCTCCCACCCCCTGGCCTCCTTCAACCACATACAGTTGTAAAGGCTGGCCGGGGCTCCAGACCCACCTGTCAGTGGCTGCAGCTGGACCAGGGCACAGCCGGAGCCTGTGGCCACCACACGGAAGTGGCTGAGGGTCCTCTTGACACCCTCCAGGATGTCCTTTCGGGACGGAGATTTCACTGGAACTACCTGTGGTGTCAGCCCCCAAGAATGAACAAGCGTCACACACGTTGGGAGCTACACCCAGACCCTCCCCGCTCCCAACAGACTCAGGACAGGGCCACCATACAGGCGGTAGTCACTTGCCTGTTTTAGGGGACAGGAGAGCCAGCCATCCCAACTCTACACCCTTGACTCCTCTGTAGGGGTAACATGTCTGCAAAGTCCCTTCCTCTATCCCACTCAGACCCTGACTCACAAGATCGACGCCATCAACGTGTTCCAGTTTCAGAGCTGCTTGGATCTTCCCCTCAGAAGTAGCCGGGACCCCCTCAGTGACAGCACTGAGAAAGAGACAGAAGGAGGTCACAGAGCGCCTTGCTGGGACCTCCCCACGACCCTGGGAGCCTCCCAGCACCTCTCACCAATAGGTGGCTGTGGGTCTCTGGGCTCTCCGTGCATGGAGGAAGAACTTCTGGAGACGGCTTGCTGTCTGGGGACAACTGGAGAGGAGTACAAGCCCAGAGGTCTCCCTGGAGGAAGGGGACAAATCACAAAAGTTAAAGTCCCTTGGGCTCACCCACAAAAAAGGGAGACCCCTAGGAAGGAACACTGACCTGCTTAAGGCCAAACAGTAACACCAGACCTAGAACCCAGACCTCCTCCTGAGAAGTCAGGCTTCCTCATGTTTGATAATAAGACTAGGGAGCTCACTGTGTTCTCATTCTGCCCTGGCCCCCAGGGAGCTCGGAGCCAAATGTCCTAACAGTTACCACCAGTTGCTAAATGTCTACCATGTGCCAGGCGCTATGCGAGAAATTTTATACATATAGCTCTTAAATAATTAAATCCCCACAAACAAGCCCACGAATTTGTGGAAGTGCAGAAATATTTCATCTCAAGTACCACCTCTGACTGACCAGGGCAGTTGGAGGAAAGAATATCATGGGTCGGCTCCCAGTGCCTGCCACAGGTACGGGGCTGCAGGAGGGACCGCCCCCGAGCACGGGTGTTATCAGCTCCATTTCACGATTGAGGGGAGGAGGTTCAGTGAGGTGTCCCCCTTTGCCTAAGATCACAGTTCGTGCAGGAGGACTTGAACTCAGCTCTGTCCACTCCCTCCTCTTCCTTGCATCCGACCTCTATAATCCCAACCCAGCCTTCTTCCCAAGCAGCTGTTCCCCACCCCGCGCCGATGCCTAGCCTACCCTCCTATCAGCCCCCACCACTTACTTCCCAGCCGCTCGGACCACCTGGAGCTCCTGCTCCGCGAGCCCCAGGGACTGGCTCAGCTCTGGCAGCACCGAGAGCAGCGTCAGCTCCCCTGGTTTTCCTGGAAAAAAAGAAGGAAAAGTACAAGTTGCTCCCAGAGGCTTTTGGCTTCATCCCACCGCCCCCTTCTCTTCACGATTCCCTCCCTCAGAGACATCAAACCCCCTTTCACTGCATCCCCTTCCCCTGCCCATACCTGTCACTGGCAGACCCTGTGGCTTGTTCAACATCACTAGAGGTCCTGAAACATATAGTACACAAACATCATCGACAGCCAAAGCAGCAGAGTGTACTAAGCACTTTCTCAATTCATCTTACCGTCTGGCCCCACTACACCTCTCAGACATGGTTATCCACCACACCCTAAACTGAGCTTCTTTCTGCCCCTCACATAGGCTAAGCTTGCTGCCACCTCAGGGCCTTTGCACTTGCTGTTTCCCCTGTCTCAGATTTTCACATGTCTGGCTCCTTCATATCATCTTGGCTCAGATGTCACCACCACAGAGAGGCCTGAAACCCCAGTCTAATGTCGGCCCTCCTCTAGTTCCTCACCAGCATAACGCCCTCTTTTATTCATAGCACTGATCACTAGTAAGTACCTTGTTCATTTATTTCCTGGTGAATCCGTTTCTCTCACTAAAATGTTGGCTCCCTGAGGGCAGGAACCATACTTATCGTGTTCAGCACTATACAGCCATGCCTAGAACAGTCCCTGAAACATAGCCTGTGCTCAATACATAGTTGAGAAAATTAATAAATCACTGAATGGAGACCGAGGCTCAGGGAAATTGTTATTTTCCTATAGCCACACAGCAAGCGGATTACAGAGCCTAGATATGACTGCAAAGCCTGTGTTTTGTCCATCAGTGAACACTTTATTACAGCAATTCCCATTGAGGAACGCCTACTGTGGGCAAGGCTCTCTAGTTATCTACAGCCTCCCACCCCACACCCCTGTCCCCGTGACGCTAAGGCTGAGAGATTGCGTAGCTGGTGTGAGCTCCTGCCGCTAGTGGGAGGCAGAACCAGGATTTGGCCCCAAAGCCTCTAGGAGGGAGCCCAGCCAGGCCCCCAGAAAGCTCAGGGGAGGACTGCTCCCCTTCCGGGTCTTCGCAGCTGTCACTCCCACCCCTCACCTTTCCGGTCCACCACGGCTGCCCTCAGCACATCGACCAGCTCCTTCCGGCTGAGGTTCTGGGGCCGCAGCAGCCCCGGGAAGGGCCGCTCCTCCAGGGGCCCCGACCGTCTGCTGGAGCCTCGAGGCTGCCGCTGATGCCTGGAAAGGGTGGGATAAGCAACAGGGGCATCACTGCTTCCCGAGGTGCCGTCCATTCTTATCTCCCCCCACCTATTCCCAAATCCTGCCGCCTCCGACAAATGCCTCAGAAGGCCCGGGCTGAGCCTCTCAAAAATTCAGGTTCGACCGGTCCCATTTGACACAGGAGAGAACTGAGGCTCCGAGAGACCGAGTAACTAGTTTAGGGTCACACAGCAGAGCTGGGATTAGAACCCCCTATCTACCTAACTCCAGACCCCGCGCACACCCCTCTCCCCAGCCCCGCCCCGCCTCCCTCCCCCACGAAGGGGGGTGCGTAATCACCGGCCCTCGGTGCCAAAGGCTGCGGCCTTGGGCGCTGCGCGGACCCCGGGACCCCGCCGCCAGCCACCCCAGGCGCGGCCCAAGACACAACCGCCACCCATCTCCCAGGACACAGGCGCACTGAGGCGAGGACAGTGCGCATGTGTCCAGAAGGGCAGCCCCGCCCACAGCGCGCTCATCGGTCAGATTGACTGTCAATCGGAGTAGCGGGGCTCGGAGCCGTGAGAAGGCGCAGCTTTGGCTTGGCCGGGGAAGGAAATGCGTCAATTCACGTCTGTGCTTTGGGGAAACTAAGGCACAGAGCAGAGGAGTTGACTCTCCCCGGGGTCAGAGAACCTGTCTTAGGGCAAAACCGAGACAAAAGGTCAAGGTGTTCGGATTACCATTGCAATTCTTAGGAGACTTCTGACTTCAAAAAACCACCATCCTGCACAATTTTGTAAGGCAAATCGAAAAAAAAACAAAACCACACTTGTTAGTCCAGTAATCCGCTTCGAAGAACACAGCCTGGTGCATAATCCAAAAGGAAAAAAAGGCCAGAGGCAGAAAGAGGTTCACTACAGCATTATTTTTCAAAGCAAAAACAAAACAAATCTCAAAACTGGAAACATAAATTCTCCTGCGACTAGCTCTATAGGAGAAATATATCTAATACATCACCCTATTCGACATTTTTTGAATGCTAACTCTGTGCCAGACCTTGGCATCCGGGAACTGGAAACAGATCGACAAGACTCGGGCCCCATCCACAAGAAGGTCGCCGAGCTGACACAGTTAGATCAGAGCATCACAACTCCCCTTGCTAATCGCTCGGGAGGTGCCGAGAGAGGGAAGAGCGAGCAGCCAGGTGAAATCAGAGCAAGCCTCCCGGCAGGGGTTGTGACTGACGGGCTGTGAAGAGCCAATAGAAGTTCACCAGGAGAAAAAGCTGTGGGGAGGAGGGGCGGCAGAGGGAGGGAGCAAGAGAAGAAATGAGATGCTAGTGAAAAAAACCAAAGACCAAAATGGGTTCTGTCCTGTAATTACAACTATAGAAAAGTTACATGCAACCTGTGAATTTATTTTTATCTATTTACTAAGAGCCTTGTAACTCTCAATTCATTGTTTGCATTAGCGAAAGATTGCAAATTAACCCAAATCCATCAACAGGAGCGGCTAAGTCAGTTGTAGCACAAACCTATGCAACCATTAATTGAAGAAAATGTAGGTCTATGTGTGCTGTGTGAATCAATCTCCAGAATATATTAAATCAAGAACGCAACGTGAAGGACCGTGTGACTAGAATATGCATATGTGTGTGTGCATGTGATATGCATATCTGTTATATTTATATGTTCTGCATTTCTGAAAGGACACACAAAAATGAGATGGTGGTGGCTTCTGGACAGGGAATCAGAGGTGAGAAGATAACTAATTATTTTTACCCTTTGGAACTGCTTAAATATTTTACTTCACTGATATATTTCTTCTTCACAAACACACACACACACACACACACACACACACTCCTAGGTTAAAAATCTAAGCTAGATATAAAAGACTGTATGATTCATAAAAATTTGTCAAACAATAATTTTTTAAACAAAAATAAGTTTAGAAATAAATCTTTTAAAAAAGATTGTGTGTGGGCTGGCCCAGTGGCACAAGCGGTTAAGTGCATGTGCTCCACTGTGGCGGCCTGGGGTTCGCAGGTTCAGATCCTGGGCGTGACCCACGCACTGCTTGTCAAGCCATGGTGTGGCAGCGTCCCATATAAACTGGAGGAAGATGGGCACAGATGTTAGCCCAGGGCCCATCTTCCTCAGCAAAAAAGAGGAGGATTGGCAGATGTTAGCTCAGGACCGATCTTCCTCACACACACAAAAAAAAGATTGTGTGATTCTATTTACTTGACGTTGTAGAAATGGCAAACTATATAGGAGGACAAAAAGTCAGTGGTTGCCAGGGACTTGGGGGGCTGGTGGGGATTGACTGGAAGGGGGCATAAGGGAGCTTTTTGGAATGCTGGACATGGTGGTTACATAAATATATGAATTTGCCAAAACTTAGTTGAACTATATACCTTAAAAGGATAAGTTTTATTGTATGCCAATTATACCTCAAGGAACATGTTTTTTTTAATTCAAAGATTTAAATAATGAGTTTTTTAAAAGATATGCACAAATACAGACAGGCCTGGCAAGAAACTTGGCAAGAATGCAAGTGGTTTTCTCTTGTTTTGGACTCAGACGGTACCGTGCTGTGTCATAAGGCCCCCCCGGCATTTTAGAATCCCTCTTCTGAAAGGTCTCCTGTGCATGCATAAGTACCAGCCTGAACAGAGATGGAAAGACAAAGGCAGAGGGGCTGGGACCCAGCCTGCCTTAGCTGCAGCAGACCTCCCTTCCCCTGGCAGTGCTTGGCCCGGGAGGGTCCTTCCCCGACTTGGACTGGCCCCGGGCCCTCCTGCCCTCCAGTGCTCTTTGGAGTTTGCCCTCCACACGCTCCAGCCCCGTCAAAGGCTGCCCTGTCCTGTTCACTGCCCACAGCTGGTGTGACTCCATTAGCTTCCAAGCTCCTGGAAGAAAACGCAGAACCTAATTTTCCCTGGGCTGGGAGGGCTCTGGTCAGTCCCTCAGGACTCACGTGCGAAACGCTGAATCTCAGGAGCAGGGGAGTTGGGACAAATTCCAAACTTCCACCACCCCCAGCCCAGCTTCACAGGAGGAGCAGATAGGCCACAGCCTCAGCAAGGGTTGACCAGGAATCTCTTCTGGCTGACGTAAACATCGTGCCTCCATGCCGGAAGGCCCACTCGCGGATCCAGGACAGCACTGAGCCGGGCCTCCAGCCACAACCGCAGGAGCAGGAAAGCCCAGAGTAGAGATCTTCTCCCGAGCTCTGGCAGCTCCTCCCACACCTGGCTGCAGGCTGTGGGGCGGCTGCCAGCAGTAACTCACCAACTCTAGCTCTGGTAACACAGGCCTTGGTCTTGGTGTTTAACAAACCACGATAGACTTTACAGCAAGGGTCAGAAAGGACACAGTTTTGAATCAGAGAGCCATGGACTAAACACAGCCACCGGCATACCTCGCCTTTCGTGCTTGTCTTGTGCCAGTTGCCCTGTGTTGAAATAATGCCCGCTCACACTCATGAGAAACGAATCTTCTCTGTGGCGCCCTAATAGCTCATTTTGAAATGCTGAGGTTGAAGGTTCTGAACATGCAAGACAAGCTGCCTGGCAAGCCAGGGAAGGCCCTGGTGGAGAGCGCAGTACAGCGTGATTAGTGCTTTCCCACCTAAACTCTTAATTAAAAGGTGGTAATAAACACAAGACTGAGAAATGAGAAGAGTGCCTTCATCCCACCTCCCAATCAAAGCCCTTCTCATAGGCACACTTATTTTGGAAATTGTCATTTGTCTTATTGATTACGTGGTCTGTTCAAGTCTCCGATTAAGCAGACATTAGTTCCAGAATCAACTGCAATTTTTTTTTCTTTTGTACAAAAAGTGCTGTTTCCTGTAACCCGCATTGTGGAGAATGGGTTGACCGCAGATTCCTCTCTTCCCTTAGACCTTCGAATCTCCCAGATAGAACTCCACCCTCATCCCCAAAGAACACATGCAAAGAAGATGTATCAGCATAAATAATTTATCGCAAGCTCTCTAATGACATACACTAGTGGGCTTGACAATTCACTCAGGGGTATTCGGGGCGGGGGCCAGGAGGTAGGGAGTGTGATGCAGGTGTAGCATGTGAAGACAGGTAGCTGAGGGGCAGACCGCGTGCCTAGCCTGCTGGTGACCAGTCTTGGTCAGCTAAGCTCCCTTGGGCAGAAAGGAGCTGGGCCAGGCCAAGAACCCTCAGTTCCCCTTTGCTTCCCCCTGCTTCCTCATTCATGAGGAAGGTGAGGGAGGTGTGACGAGGTAAGACGCTCTCTAGCTGCTGGCTTGTGCGTGCTACCAGCTGAGCACGGGGTCCCCAGTCTAGACTTGGCTGGGGAAGACCTCCAAGGACTTGGGCCTTCGTTGCAGTGTCTTCAGACAGGATGGGGTGAGGGGTGGGGCCTTGTCCTTGGGGGGCTGCCCTCCCGTTGGGGCATCCAGGAGCTGCTGCATGTAACAGGAGGTACCAAGCAACAGATGGCCTGTGGCCTGCATGCTGAAGAGGGCCCAGCGAAGAGCTTTCCTGGGTGGAATGAGAAGGTACTAGAGTCAAAACATGTGGAAAACCCCTCCCTGCATCCCCAAAATGCCTCCTCCCCCATGCTCCCTTCATAATTTCATAAAGTGTAGAGTGATGTGCAGACAGGAACAGGTGCTGCCTTCCCTCAGCAAATGGGAAATGGTCTGCAGGCATTACCTGCAATTGTACCTTAATTGAGATGTCCGTAACCTCTCAATTTTCTCAGGCAAAATTCAAGCTCATTTAAGAAGGCCTTTTATTTTTGTGATACTACTTTTGACCAGCCAGATTGATCGACGTAATATGGCTCTGCCCTTCACGACCTCTGTTCCAGACTCCAAGGCCTTTCCAAGTCATTTGTAGTCTAGCTAATTTTCTGAGTGCTGGGTATGAAGTTCTCCACGCCCGGTGTTAGAATGTACTGAGAAGAGAACTTGAGTCAGACAGGCCTGCGTTCTAATCCAGTCTCATTAGCTGTGTGAACCTTGGCAAACTGCTCCAGTACTGAGCTTCTGCTTCCTCATCTGTGAAATGGGACCATGCCATTTTGATCCCTCACAAGGTTAGGAGGTTGAAATAACATAAACCACTTAACGTGGGGCCTGATGTGTAGAAGAACAGGAGAAACATCAAGAATAGCTGGTTGGATGCTTGACTACTTTAACCAAGTTCTTATCCAAATCTGTTTAAAAGAGATGGGTGAGGGTCACTAGGGATGTCTAGTCCGGGGGCATCAGGGAGTGGAAACAAAAGGAAAATAAAAACTTCCTGGCCGATACTAAAACTTGAGTCCTCTATTAACCTCCATTCAATAAGTGAACTTACGTTATGGTTGAGGTGGAGGGTGGCAGAAAGGCAATTAGAACCATAAACCTCTACACATGAAAGTACTTTAAAATTTTAAAGGCTATACCTGAGATATACCCATTTCTCAAATTAGAG